TTTGTTTTAGTGTGTTACACAAATTGATCTTGTCTCAGCAAACAAATCAGGTCCTTGGTTTGTGTCGTGAACTGAAGCTGTAGAAAGGAGTCGCCTTTGGGCTAAGGTTTCTTCACAACTCCATTCTCACCTTTGAGTGAAGATCTTTATGAACCGGCCTCAACCACCAAAACCACCTGACCCATCGAACTCATCACCACATCTAAGACCACCAGATCTGCCAGCCGTTTCACTGGTAACTCCCCTCTCCTCCCTTGCCGATATCGTGAGCCCTGTAGCTCCGGAGACTGTAAATTCGGCAACCACTCCACTGGCTTCTCCGACGCCAACGAACCTCTCCCCATCGGTGCGTGATGCGTCAGTCCCATTTGAGTCTTCAGCTTCAATCTCTGCTCCATCGACTGGGAAAACCTATCCCTCGCCGAGATCTCATTTCATTTTCTTCGGCTCAGTCAGTCTTTCTCTCGCCGGTCAAGATTTCTGCTCCGGTTGGGGAGCTGTTTTGGCTCCGACCTCCGCTCCTTCATCCTTCCTGTCGTGGTTCTATCCCGATGAGTCACCACTGCTCCTCCTCCATCTCCCCAACTGCCCGAAATCCTACCATCCAAAAGACACTATTCAACGGTGGGCTTGGCTCAATATGTGTTGTGGGCCTTTTAGCCCAATAAGAGCAATTTGCCTGGGCCATTCTCGACCCAAGATAAGTCATATTTTGATGGTAATTATCTATGGGTATTGGCCAGAAGTATAATCACGATTATGAGGAGGGTTACCCTCGGCTCCCATCTTAGCATCAATCAATCGTGGGCTTGGCCCCTAATGAGGTGTAGGTCTTGCTCACCGAAAAATTTTCTCGGCCACCATCGGACACAATTTCCCCGGCCACCGTCGGACACAATTTCCCTCCACCATCCACCGTGTTGGTGTGAGTGGATTATGGGCCTTCAAAGGCCTTACTTGTTGAGGCCCAATTGGAGTATTGCACTCACTATCCTCGGCCCAGCCCAAATAGTGTCAAAAAGCAGATTTGCAAAAATCTCACTTGCATAGTCAATTATTACTAGTTTTTGGTAGTATAGTCAAACTGTTTAGTCTAATTTTATCTATGTAGGTGATGTTGAGTTAGCTTTATCTAGACTTTTTATTGTAAAAAATATTTAGTTAAGTATCTATGAACATAATTAACTATTCTACTAACATAGTTATTAACATATTTAATTTTTCAAAAACATAGTTAGTTATTATGTTTTATATAAAATTGCACAGTGAACTATTTAAAAATATAATTGACTATTTGGAAACCACGTTTTTTATTACCTACGACTGAAGTTAATATGTTTGTAATGTTAAGAAGCATTATACTATAGTTGATCATTTTTTATAGACATGAAAGAAAAAGAAATGAATATGAGTGAGAAAGAAATAAATATGAGATAAATAATTATGGAAATGAATATAAGATCATTTATGATAGAGAAGAATCACTTACTATAATTATAATAGGGATAAAATTAGA